AGACAAATAAAATAAAATAGTTAGAATTACAAAAATAAAATAATTAAAATAAAATAATTAAAATTATAAAAAAAACCACCCTGAAATAGATTAGATTTTTTAAATGTTCGAGGCCGATTGGAAGAACTTGACCCACTTGTCTCTAGAGATGTGCTACTTTGGCTAGAAGAAGAAGAACTAGATAATGCATATATATATATATATATCAACAAACTCATTAAATATGACATTTACCTTTCGTTGAACCCCGTCCTCTACATAAAGAACATTGTAAAACTCCTTCAAGAGCTATAATTTATATCGAGGTTCAAGCAAAACAGCAATAGACAGAATCAATAAGTGATCAGACCAATATTTCTCATATAATTCAAGCATGGGTCCTGTCATTGCAGAAATGCCTTTATAAGGATCATTGTGAGCATCACACAACAACTTTTCAATTGCAACAACATTAGCCAAATACAAGTTAGAGGTGTGGTACTTGGATCTAGAGAACAGGGCAGTAATTTCATAAAATGGCTCAAGAAAATCACAAATCGTTTGAACAGTTTCCCACTCATATTCAGTAATAGCATCCAAGTCATTTTCCCTATTCACAAACAAATGAATGGTTAATTTAGCATCAAGTGCCCTATGAATCATTAAGTAAGTAGAATTCCATCGAGTAGGAACATCTAGTACTAATTTACTATGAAAAGAAGATTCACAATTTTTAACAACTAATTCAAAGGCACAAAGTCGAGAATCAGAAGAATCAATAAATTTAACAATTTCTCGTAACTTAATAACAGAAGAATCAATTACCTTCAAACCTTTTTGAACTATCAAGTTCAAAATGTGGGCAATACACCTTACATGAAAACATTTACCATTGCATGGAAGAGGAGAAATAGGATGCAAATCATATCTAAGTCTTTTAACCATTTTATCATTTGTAGAAGCATTGTCAAGAATTATGGTAAAATCCTTTCTTTGAAGACCCCATTCGTATATCATTTTTCACAAACTTAAAATTTGACTCAGCATCATGTGGTGGAGGAAAACGACGAAAATTTAGTATTTTAGACTGAAGTGTCCAATTATTATCAACATAGTGTGCAGTGAGAGGAAAATAATAATGTGAAGTGCAAGCAGACCATCCATCACATGTAAAACATATTCGACTTGAAACAGAATGCATTGAATCAAGTAGGTACTTCTTTTGCTTTTCATGTTGTAACACGCAAAACTTAGTAATAGTATACCTCGAAATATCCTTCACATTAACATTAAGGCAATTATGCAAAGCCCTAAGTTTATCATGCTCAACCATACACAAAGCATAACCATGACACAAATAATAAATAACATATAACAGAATCACTTAGAATTACTAATAAAAAAACATACTACTAAAAAACAGAACAAAACAGAATATAAAAACAGACAATAAAAATAATAACAAAAACATATACAAAACAAATAATAAATAACATATAACATATAACACTATATAAATAATAAAAAAAGAACAAAATAGAATATAAAATTGTAACAAAAAATAATAAAATATACAAAACAAATAATAAATAACATAAAACATAAAACAAAACATACTATTAAAAAACAGATAACGAAAATAAAAAAACTAATACAAAACACAATATAAATAATACAAAACAAATACAAAACAGAGTATAAAAATAAAAAAAATTATAAAAAAAACAAAAGCACATAAAAAACAGAAAATAAAACCAAATAAAATTATAAAACACTGATTTTTTACCTCCTTGTGTTGATTGATCATTTTGATTTCTTTGTAGGTCTCCTCTGTGAGAAAATAATATTTATTTGTTAGAACCCTAAAAAAGAAAAAAGAAAAGAAAAAAGAAAAAAAAACATCTTTTTACTAGGGAAATTTATCTCATACAAATGAGAATACATTAAACCCTAAAAAATAAAAGGATTCGATTAAAAAAATGAGTAGTCACGAACAGTAGGTAAAGAGTCAAGAAGATTAGTAGTCACAAACAGTAGGTAAAGAGTTACGAACAAATTTTTTCGGATGAACAATGCTACTCTTGGGTTAGATCTAAAAAAATATGAGATTTTTTTGGATGAACAATGATTTTATGGGATACCAATCAGTGATTTTCTAGGTTAGATCTTAAAAAATGAGATTTTTTTGGATGAACAGTGATTTTCTGGGTTAGATCTAAAAATATTGAAGCCCAGATTAAGGAACATGTTTTGATCCCAAAAAAACACAAAAAAGAATGAAAGTTTGCGTTTTTTCGGATCAAACAAGCTTTTTTGGAAGAACAAATGAAGAACACGAATGAGTTTTTGATGTTTGATCGAAAAAGAGTTTGAAATTTGGAAAAAATATGTTTTTCTAGAGAGATGGGAGAGGACTTTCGGGAGAAAGAATATATGTAAAGAGAGAATTCAGAAAATGAAATAATTAAAATTAAAAATGGGTAAAAATTGTATTTATATTACATTTTAATTCGGGCTTCTAGGCCAACGCTTCTATAGAGAAAGTAGTCTTGTCTCTTAAATTGAAATTATTTCAATTTAATCATTTATCTTATTTTATTTGTTTTTAATTTTAGCTGGAAATTTTGTATTTATTTAATTTAGTCCTACGTGTATATATATATATATATATATATATATATATATATATATATATATATATATTATACTTTATACTTTATATATATATATATATACTAATATTATACTTTAATACTTTATAAATTTTATATATTTTATACTTATTTAATTTAAATATATATATATATATATACTTATATATATATATATATACATATACTTATATATATATATATACACTTATAGTGTATTGTTTATATAAGTTTACATATATATACAATATATATACATTTAAAATATATATACTTATATTATATACTTATATAAGTATAATGTATACTTATATTATATATATATATATATATATATATATTATAAATATAAACTATAATATATATATATATATATATTAATTGTTTCAATTTTTTCTCAACTTTTGAAATGAATGTAACTTAGTCCATTTTACATATTTTCTTCACATTTTATAATTATTTCGATTTGATCCCCTTGAGTTCTTTAATTTATTTAATTTTTTATTTGTAATTTCATATTTATTCAATTTAATCCTTAAAGTTATATTTGCATATGAAATTGGCCCATACTTATTACTTATTTATATTTTTGTAATTGTCACAACTTTTTAAATGGGTATAATTTAGTCATTTTTATATTATTTTCAACCTCACATTTGAAAATTATTTCGATTTGTCCCTCATCAATGCATGTTGTTTAATTTATTTAAATTTTTACTTGTAATTTCATATTGGTTTAATTTAATCCTTAAAATTATATTTTTATCAAATTTGATCCATAATTATTTAAATTTTTAGTAATTTACTCTAAATCATATACAATTACTTATTGCAATTCAGCGTTCACGAAAGGCGAAAATAATTAATCCAAAAATAAAAATTACCCGATCTGAATGAGATCTGATTGAAGTATATCCAAACATGAATTAACCTGGTGTTTAACTGTTTTAGACCTGAACCGTTTTGACCTGAACTGACATCGATCCGAACTGAAATTAACCTGACCTGAATTTGATTTCAAATCAACTAGAAAATGACCCGAACCTGATTTGACATGAACCCGACCTGATCCGAGTCCAACCATCAAAACGACCTTACACGACCTGTATCCGATTTTACCTTGAAACTATTTTTTATGGATGATGTATTAAAATAATCTAATAAAAATACTTTAGAGATAATAAAACTTTACATTTATTTTTTCAAATATTTGGTTTTAGTTTTCTTAGCTTTTTTTTATTCTTTGAGATATAGATTTTGTTATTTGGGCTTTTTAATCCACATAGAAAAGTTTAACACTATTTTTATTTTTCTATTAATCTGGAGTAAGTACAAGGTAGTATATGTTCAAATATAACTCTTAACCATTTGATAGTAACACTTACACTTATGGCATTCATGATATTCTAACCTGAGACCTAAAAAATAACAACAATTCATTTACCACTTAGGTAGTTTGGTTTGTGAGAAAAAGTTTAACATTATAACATTGAATTAGACGAATTTTTAAATATTTTCCTTATTTCATTTTAGGAATGATAATTTAACCTGAAATCGAAGGACTCTGACTCGATAGGATCTGATTTTTTTAATAAAAAGTTGGATCGAGTTTGATCGGATTTTATATAGGTGTGAGGTCAGGTCGGGTTCAAGTGGAGGGTGAAAAATCTTTAACCCGGTCTGAGAGTAATATTTTTATAAAAGTTTATGGATAATTTCTATAATACCATTCTCTATATTTTTTTAATAAGATCCTAATTTTATATTAGGTTGGATCGGGTGGGCGGATAAAATATACCTTAGGTCACTGATTTATCTGATTTATTCAAAATTAATTATTTAATAACTCAATTAAAAATATTATTACAAACATATCACTTTATCGTCAAAATTAGAACAAAACTAAAAAACGGTTGGTATAATTTAATCCTAAAAATTATTCATTCTATCAATTTAGTCTTAATTTGAAAAAAATCAATAAATTTAATTATTCATATTTAAAATTTCTATTAATTTAATTTTGTATGGTGAATATAATATATAGTTTTTATTTAAATAATTTTTATCTATTTAACAATAAATACTTTTACATCTCTATTGATATTATGCTCGACCTTTTAAACGATAATAATATATTAATAACTGAATTTGTTTAATTCACGTTACACAATAATCTTGAATAATGTGAATTATGAAATTTTCAGTGGTGTAAAACACGTCATTGTACGAATCACCCGCTGTTCAACACATAACATTCGCGAACGATCCACACGAATTGTCAAAAAAGCCCTTGAAGTCCTCATGATTTAAGAATCGAGGAGGAAAATAGAAACGAAATGCTTGTTTGCCGTCTCGCTGAATACCCTCGCACTAGCTTCAATAAAACGAAATGACCAAAGAATTCAATGTGCCGCCGGTGGTGTTCCCCACCGGCAACGGAATCAGCGTCGGATACGTCAACCAAAGGCGAGCTCCCATGGCTCCATTTCAACCCGCACGCCCTCCATCTTCCTCCTCCGCTATACCCTTCTTGTCCTTTGACATCGGCTCCGCCGCGTCGTCATCCGGTACCTTCGGCGGCACGATCTCCGCCTCGGTAGCGTCTGGATCCGCCTCATTCGAAGACGAAGAGCCCCTTCTTGACGAACTCGGCATCCACCCGGACCAAATCTGGCACAAAACCAAATCCATCCTCAACCCTTTCCGGGTCAACCCGATGGCCTATAAAGACTCGGATTTATCCGGTCCCATCTTCCTCTACTTATCCTTCTGCTTGTTCCAACTCCTCGCCGGAAAGATCCAATTCGGCGTTATCCTTGGCTGGATAGTCGTCTCGTCGATCTTCCTCTACATTGTTTTCAATATGTTAGCGGGGCGCAACGGCAACCTAGATCTGCACACTTGTACGAGTGTGGTTGGTTATTCTATGTTACCGGTGGTGATCTTATCGGCGATGTCGATTTTTATTCCGCAGGGGAGTAACGTCATTAGGTATGCAATAGCGGGAGTTTTCGTATTCTGGGCCGCTAGGGCTTGCACCAATTTGATGGTGGCGCTTGCTGATGGAGGCGAAGAACACCGTGGTCTTATCGCGTACGCATGTTTCTTAATCTATACTTCGTTTTCGCTTCTTGTTATATTTTAGTTTGAAGCTCATTTGTCCTCTTTTCTTCATCAAAGTTGCGTGTGGATTGTATGAATGTAAAAGGTCTTTTTTTTTGTTGTTGAATTGAACTAAAATTTACCAGAATTGCACCTTTTTTTTGCTTGTAGTTGCTTACTGTGATGCAGTGAACTCCTTCAATCCTGAATATTAAGAAGATGAACTTGTTTGCATGGTTTGAAATAGGGTTTTGCATTGCATCCTTCATTGTTATACTTTCATGAGTGTTACATTTTAATTAATGATCAAGCTATTCAAATTTAAGTTATCGACAGATTTAGGTATTTTCTATTGATAATTTATTTTCACTCCTAAAATTTTAAGTTTGCCCCCTAGCATAAAACCATGTGTCTGTCCCTGCTTATCGATACTCTTCAGGAAAATATGTAAATCTAAGCTAAGCCTTATCAAGCTAGGGGAAACCCTCTTTGGACCTTTAGAAAGAGTTTTTTTTTATGCCCGTAATCGTCTTGAGATTATGGTTTCTGTCTCTTTTTCGAATTTTAGAGGCTAGATGAAGTTTTGCAGATACTTGAATGTTTGAATAGCTCTGTGCTTTGGACATGTAGTAAAGGCTGAATCTTGATTTTAGCTTTATTTGGTTGGTGTCAAGGGCTCGAGGTGAGCTTAACTTGCACGGAGAGTTTGAGATATAGGACACCTTGCAATCTGCACACCAGTGTTGGAATGTTAGCCTTGTTTGTCTCTATCATAAGATGTAATAGCTGATTTAGGTTTTGATTCTTGGATTTATGGAAGTATTGAACTTTGTTAGAGACTATTAAGTAGGCCTGTAAACACTTTGAATCTGAAAAGAAAATCGTCAAGATGATGGAATATTTGATGTTTTAGAGGATGTAAGGATGCTTATTTCGGTTTTCGGTATTGGGGCTGAATAGCATAACTACTAACAGTTTTCATCAATACTCTTGTTTGCTATATGCATAGCCTGAATTAGGCTACACCTGCAAGATGCAACTTTAGCTTTCTAACTGCAGTCACACTGGTGAGATGTGCAAATATGCGATCGGATCTATTTGCATTAGCTTAGTTCTATAGGTTCATGTAAATCCCAGTATTTACAATACTCTTTTATATACCTGGACTGCATTTATATTCGCATTTCAGCATCAGAGAGTCCCGTTGTCTTTAGAATTGTTGTATAAGTAAGGTTTAACTTTGGGTAAATTGATGCGGGTGGTAGTTAACTTGTATGCATTGAAGCATTGTGCGACTAAGGCTTTGTCACATAGTTCTCTTCCCCATTCTCGTAGGTTTCAGAATTCAGATATATATCATCATCCATTCCCAACATTGATTAACCTTCTTTGGGATTAAATTTTGTATGTTCTGTATGAACTACGGATCATTAATTTAATTAGTAATTTCATAAAGAAGTTCTACTAAATTAAATTAATGACCGATAGAATTAATTATTAATATGTGTTGTAGTATTATTCTAGGGAGTTATTGATTCACGTACTAATTTGAAGTAGTTCTGTTTTCTTACTAATTACTTTGTGATGCGTGATCATCACCAAAATTTTTAGTTCTATGCTTGCAAGGATCATATTAGTTGGCTTAGTGGTAAAACATGTTCTTTAACAACATCTTTTAACATCCGTTAGAAATTTAAAACGACATGGTGTATGATTTTTTCTACTAAATTTCATACTTTATGCTTAGAGATCTAACTTGTGATACTAGGAGGCTCTCTCATCACAATATTTTATCAAATTTCTGAAGTGAAATGACGAATACTGTTATGCTATTGACTTAATGATAGAGTGATATAATTGAGTGCAAAATTAAAGTTTAGTGATATAATTGACAATATCAAAAGTTTTGATGTAAATGAGCCATCGAACAAAATTCAGTGATATCCGATGTAATTTATTTATATTATAATTATCTCTTATATATTTAAGAATAATTATAATAATATTCTTCTCAATATTATTTTTCAATTAGGTTTCTATTTTTTTTTCAGCAACACTAAAAATTATATACATGTGTGTTAGATGGAGAGATTTAATTTTTAAGTTACACTGCTTATGACTATCCCTAGATAAGCATACTTGATACTAAGAAAAAATTGAAAGTAAGTACTAATGTGTCAATGAATTGATTAAGATTTTTAAAATTGTAAATGTAAGATGATTTAAGTTTTAATATTTTAAGTACTTGGATTGGATTTCATACTTTGTCAAAGTGCAAGGATTAACAACATATTTTGATTAAAAATTATACATAAAATTAATTAATAAAATTTTATCATAAAGTGTTCTAATATTTATATTTTAAAATAACTTATTTGTAAATACAAATAAAATAAAGAAAAATATATTTTTTCTATTGATATATATTTTTGAAAATTATTTTTCCATTGATATCACATCTTAAACTTTTCAAATTTATTTATATATTGAATTTAAATTTTTGATTTTATATTAATATAATATAATATAATAACATTTTAATATTATACTATTTCTATTAGAAATTTTAAACAAATACGCTATATCATAATTTGATAATATATTAACGTGCTATATATATTTGAGTTATCATCCATTTACATAATATAAAGACATAATGTAACAAAATAACCTTAATGTATGATAGTAGTGTTAAACTTACCCGTATTATTTTTTGGAACATTTGACCACTGAACGTTTAACTTTGGGTCAGAAATCACCCTTGATGGATAGAAACCGTCAGTTTAACTTTGGGTCAAAAATCACCCTTGATGGATGGAATTGTCAGTCAACTGACGGTCAAAGTCAGATGCTGACATAGTAAGCACACATGGACATGGAAGCTAACGTGACATGTCCATGTCAGAGATTAATCACATTAGAATTTTTGAAAATAAAATAAATAATTTTATGATTAATATTATTTATATTTAATTATTTATGATCAATCAAAAAATGACACATGTCACTCTCTGATTGGTGTTTGTTTAAAACAACTATTAAAAAAGGAAACACAATGGAAGGGAATCGAACCTAGGAAAGGATCATGGAATGGCACAACCTTTGCCGCTAGACTAAACTACTTATTTGGTTAAATAATGAATTAAATGATATTTAATAGATACTCTATTTAAATTTAATGGAAAAAAATTAAAACACTTATTTAATGAAAATTTGAGATTGAGATTTTCTCTTCTTTTTAATTGTATTTGCAAGAGCGGGGACTTAGGAAGAAATGGATCCGTACATCTAAAATGGAAAAAAAAGAACTTTAGTGTTTAAGCTGTTTAGACGGGTTGGATCCGAACTCTCGATTTATCAGAAAAATAGGGTTAGGGTGTCATTATTGATGGACGAGATCTGGGAGAGAGCGGTGGTGACAGCGCTAGATGGACACAGACCACACAGCGGTTCGGACCTTGACACTTGACGCTGTGTTGAAGTGTGTTCAAGGTCTACTCCCGCTGCCTAGTCTCTTGGAAAAATTTGAGAATCTTGAACACCTTTCCATCGCCAACATAGGGGTTTCATCCCTAGAACAGTTTCCTCGTCTACGAAATCTCCATAAGCTTATCCTTTCTGACAACATAATAGCTGGTGGACTTGAGTTCCTCGTTGAAACTGGCCTTGACTCGCTTCGAGACCTCGACTTGTCCAACAATCGGATTCAATATATTGAGGATCTTGCCCTGCTTGCTCAGCTTAAGCTTGTTTCGCTCGACCTTTATCAGTGTCCAGTTACCAGAGTTAAGGATTGTCGTTATAGAGTTTTTGGTTTGATGAAGAAGAGACTGAAATTGGTAGAAGAGTAAATGTGCAGAGCCATGAGACCATGTTTCGTATAGAGCAAGTAGGGAGAGATGATGAAGATGATGAGGATGACGATGACGATGATGAGAATGTTTCAGATGAGGAAGTTGATGACGATGATGGCGATGAAAAGGAGGAGGAAGAAGAAGATGTGGAAGGTCATGAGATTGGGGGTAGTGAAGACGAGGGGAAAGTATAAACAAGTGTTTTAATTTTTTCCCATTAAATTTAAATAGAATATCGATTAAATATCATTTCGTTCATTATTTAATCAAATAAGAGTTTGGTTTAGTGGCAAAAGTTGTGTCATTTCATAGCCTTTGCCTTGGTTTGATTCTCCTCCCCTGTGTTTCCTCTTTTATTAGCTGCTTCAAAACAAACACCAATCACATGTCAATTATTTATTTTAATTTTAAAAATTCTGATATAGCAGAGCCACATCATCATGATATCGGACATAGACATGTCACGTTAGTTTCCAAGTCCATGTGTGCTTGTTCCGTCAGCATCTGGCGTTGACTGACGGTTTTCATCCATCAAGGGTGATTTCTAACCCAAAATTAAACGTTCAGTGGTCAAATATTCCAAAACGATAATACGAGCAAGTTTGACACTATTGTTAATCGTTAGAGTTATTTTGTTGCATTATGTCTAATTTAAAATTCTTTAGCTTTACACAGATTTAGAACCGTTGGATGAATGAAGATTTATAGTTGAGATCGACTCATTTCTTTTTTTCATTAAATATCTATTGTTAATTTTTATTATCTATTTTCACCCATCCAACGGTTTTAAATCTATATAAAACTAAAAAAGTTTTACAATATGTAACAAGATTGTATTCATATATTATTTATGTGATAGGATCTTGTTACATAATGTAAAACTCTTTTGTTTTATATAGATTTAAGATCGTGAGATTAATAGTAGGAAATTATTATCCATGTCCTACGATATTGCTGACAAAGCTCCTATGGTGTCAAACAATCCCAAATGAGATGCATGAAAGCTTCTTCGACCTAGGATTGAAGGAATGGACGGTCAGCAACTTTAATTCCACCACTGCTACTGGTGAGTGGCAAAGCCCCTGGAACCTTATTTTTGTATCACTAACTTGGCAGCTATGGGAAGGGAGGAATGCCTTCACTTCCAATCAAGAACACCTCCCCAATGGAGCGATCTTCCAAGTTGGTTTTGCCTGCGCAAACATTTCCATGGCAACACCAATTCAATGCAGCACGATGAAGCCAACTTACGTATAGGTAGCCCTGTCTCTTGGATAAAGCCACCACAAGGTTGTTGGTGCTGTCTAAATACAGATGGAGCTAGGGATGGCAACGGGTCGGGTTTGGGCCAGGTATTGGTCCCCCGTCTCCGTTTAAAAAATCCATACCCGACCCCGCT